CCCAAAAAAGGGGGGGGGGTGCGGGGCCAGCCTCTGTTCGTGGTGGCAAGCCTTGTTCACCGCAAACAGAAGCTGCTCTGGCACCAGCCCCTGTTTGTGTCAGAGAGGGCTGGCAGCAGACAGGGGCTGTTGCTGGAGTAGCTCTTGTCCGCAGACAGCCCTGAACGCCGTGAACAGGGGCTGGTCCGGCACCAGACCCTGTTTGCAGCAGACAGGGTTGTCTGCCACGAACAGGGCTGCTGGACTCAGTCAAGCTGGGACCGGGCATCTCTTCCTACATTTAAAATGCAGAACTGCAGCACAGGTGGCTTCCAGAGCCGGCATGAGTCGAGACTGCTCAGCAGAGCAGTCCTATCAACTAGCCTGATAACTGCATTTTAAACATCCTCAATAATAACTATTAAACCACGTGGATGGGCAAAGGCTCCAGAAGGTAAAGCTTTTGATAATGCCTTAAAAATAACAGCATCTGTATGGCACATAGACCAATTTCAGATGGAGTGTCAGAGATTCCTGGTTTTTCCTACAGCTGAGAATATGTTAGCAACAATGTTCGAACACTGTTGCTAGCACAGTTTCAGTGGTAGTAAAATTATGGCATTACATGTAACAGTAAAGCAAGAAACTTAGATCTTTGTTTCAGAGTGGAACAATTCAATGGGAATTAACTTTATCAAACATTACTTGGGTTGTCACAACAAAGAGTTCAAAGTACAGTTCAAAATCAAACCACTGTAGTCTTAATATGACTTCAAAGGTCAGGAGGAAAAGCCTAAGATAATGTACCCTTATTAAAGTTGGAAGCAAGCAGCTTGAATGCTGTTAACAGGGCACGCCCTGAATATGAACCATCAAATACACCCTGAAAGAACTTCATGACACTTCCACCCAACAGTAGGCTTGGAATGATATTTGCTGCTTCCAGAATCCCATGTAAGAATATGTATAGTCGACTATCATTTAAGTACACACTAATAGCTCTTGAAAAAAACCTAATTGCTTAGGGCAGAGTTTCTCAAAATGGGCCATGGGTCCACTTTGAGAAACCCACTAGCTGTCCTGCACCGCTTTGTTTACCTAAAGGGTCCATAGCTACAGAGCTTTGTGGCTCTCAGTGGCTTCCCACAGCTCTCCTTGGCTAGAAACAGTGAACCAGAGCCAATGGGAGCCACAAAGCTCTGTAGCTATGGACCCTTTAGTTAAACAAAGCAGTACAGGCCCACTAGCAGATCTGCCAAAGGCGGCTCACGGCCCACATTGAGGAATGTTGGCTTAGGATATATTAAAAAAAATGAGATTTTCTAATATATTTCTTGGGTGTGATGATTTTATATCCTGTGGTCAGATCTACGCACATATATTTCCACCTACTATGAAAGAAAGTCTAAAATAATCCACAATTTAAAACCTGTGTTCACAAGAACATAAGAATGGTCATACTGGGTCAGACCAAAGGTCCATCCAGCCCAATATCCTGTCTGCCGACAATGACCAATGCCAGGTGTCCCGGAGGGAGTGAATCAAACAAGTAATGATCAAGCAATCTCTCTCCTGCCATCCATCTCCACCCTCTGATAAACAGAGGCTAGGGACACCATTCCTTACCCATACTGGCTAATAGCCATTAATGGACTTAACCTCCATGAATTTATCTAGTTCTCTTTTAAACTCGGTTATAGTCCTAGCCTTCACAACCTCCTCGGGCAAGGAGTTCCACAGATTGACTATGAGCTGTGTGAAGAAGAACTTCCTTTTATTTGTTTTAAACCTGTTGCCCCTAGTTTCATTTGGTGCCTCTAGTTTCATTAGTTTCATTTGGTGGCGCCTAGTTCTTATTTTATGGGAACAAGTAAATAACTTTTCCTTATTCACTTTCTCCACACCACTCATGATTTTATATACCTCTATCATATCCCCCTTAGTCTCTCCTGTTTTCCAAGCTGAAAAGTCCCAGTCTCTTTAATCTCTCTTCATACAGGACCTGTTCCAAACCCCTAATCATTTTAGTTGCCCTTCTCTGAACCTTTTCTAATGCCAGTATATCTATTTTGAGATGAGACCACATCTGTACACAGTATTCAAATGTGGGCGTACCATGGATTTATATAAGGGCAATAAGATATTCTTTGTCTTATTCTCTATCCCTTTTTTAATGGTTCCTGACATCCTGTTTGCTTTTTTGACTGCCACTGCACACAGAATGGACTTTTTCAGAGAACTATCCACAATGACTTCAAGATCTCTTTCCTGATTAGTTGTAGCTAAATTAGCCCCCATCATATTATATGCAGAGCTTGACAAGCGACAGCAAGCCCTGCTCGCCAGTCGCGTGGTTTGGCACACTGCGCATGCGCAGACCATGCTGCATATGTGCTGATCGCGCTGTGGTGCCATGCAGGGCTAAAATCTATTTGCCATGGGCGAGTAGATTGCCCCAATTGTCGAGCCGTGATTATATGTATAGTTGGGGTTATTTTTTCCAACTATATGTGACACAGAACAATGTACAATATTCACAGAGCTGCTTATCTGAGTAATGTTTCTGATCCATAGAGAACAAAAGTGTTTCAATAAGAGAAGCATATTTAATAATTTAAAATATTATTCCATTTTTTAAAAGGTTGTTATTCCATGTTCATAACTGTAGCACAACTGCAGTATGGAGCCTATTATGGGCCTCTACAAGTATTCATGATTGTGTTTTTTGAGCAAAAGCATCCACTGTCCCCTCATGACTCAATCTCCCGTCTGACCTTATAAAACTATAGAACTCCTTAATAGAAATATTAAGATTAAACATTTCCTAATAGGGTTGTTAGATAACATTTTTTTAGTATTCATGTAGCTGCAACAAATTTTATTGGTTACACGGTTACTAAAATGGTCCCTGGTGGCAGGGCCGGCAGCCAGCCCCACTCCCGTGTAGTACCATGCCACCCCGTGTTGCTGCGTCTGAGACAGAGGCAGCAGCTCAGGGTAGCAGCAGCCCTG